TTCAGCTCTTTAGTATCTTGAATTCTTCCTTCTGCTTTGGCTTCTCTGCACTCCAGTGCAATATTCAGAGTCTCTTCTGACATCCATTTTGGTCTTCCTCTTCTGTCTTTGCAATGACCATTTGCCCTCTTCCTGGATGATACCCTTGATAATCTCCCATAACTTGTCTGGTCTTTGCTCATTACTGTTCAAGGCCTCAAACCTGTTCCTGAGATGGTTCTGAAATTCAGGTGGGATAGACTCAAGGTCATATTTTGGTTCGCGTGGATTTGTTTTAATTTTCCTTAGCTTCAGCTTGAACTTGCAAATGAGTAGTTGGTGGTCTGTTCCACAATCAGCTTCTGGCCTAGTTTTCAGAGCTGATACTGAGTTTCTCCCACGGTTCTTTCTGCAGATGTAATCAATCTGATTCCAATGCATACCATCAGGTGAAATCCATGTGTATAACCTGTGTTTATGTTTCTGAATAAATAAAACATATTTGCAATGAATAAGTCATTGTGCAAAATTTAATCATTGTATCTCCAGCTTCATTTCTGTCACTGAGTCCGTGTTTTCCAACTGCTGATTATTATTCTCTGTTGCCAACTTTTGCATCCCAGGCACACATTATTATTAATGCATCTTGATTGCATGTTCAAACTCGCGGGACGCATGGGGGACCGGAATCTTTACAGGCAGAGAAGCAGTTCAGCACAAAGGACCCTCGGAAATCCCCGCCCCACTGGTAAAGGAGAAGAGCTCAAGGCAGTGCGGAAATCATTGGGGCCCTCAGGCCAAGAAAACAATCTGTACACCAGTTCTACAGGACACATCACCTTCGTTTGGGAAACTTTACCACTAAACTTAAGAGACACTGGTCACAGCATAAGAAATTGTAAGCAGCTGATGTGTTTGGAGTCACAGAAGCAAAGAAAGCATCAGATATAAGCTATCAGATCAAGGGCTGGACTATGGGAGATAGGTGTTGAAGGGAGTGGGTAGAAGTGGATGGGTATCCTAGTAATGGTGGAGGAGGGAAATAAGTGGATCAAGACACTTGTGCCAAGGTCAGGGACAACACTGAAACTAATGGTTAATTCCACAATTAGGGATATATATTTCACTTTTTTCTGTAAAATGCTTGTCTGATGGATACTTCTCTAAATCTGAGCATACAGATTAAGACAGAGTAGGAAGAAGGATTGGCCATCCACTTCTGAAATAGCAGGCCTCTGAAAACCCTATATACAAAAGAACACACGTAGACTAACAGGGCAACTGAGGTGGAGCTTTCAAATATGGAAATACAAAGGAAGAGGAAGAGTTGTAAGCAGACACACTAGTGATTGGAACATGGAATGTGAGAACCGTGAATGTAGGAAAACAGATATTGTTAAGGAAGAAATGGAACACATAAATATTGACATACTAGGTATTGAAGATGAGATTGACTGGCATGTGGCATTTTGAGTCGCATGATCATATGATATATTACTCCGGAGATGAGTTAAAAAGGTGAGGAAAAATGGGGTTGCTTTAATAGTTAAAAAAAGTCATTTCTACATCCATCTTGAAATACAATATTGTGAGTGACAGGATAATATCCATACGCATACAAGGAAGTCCAGTGAATACCACTATCATTCAGATATATGCACCAACAACCAGAGCCAAAGATGAGGAAATAGAAGATTTCTACCAACTTTTACAGTCAGAGATCGATTGAACATGCAATCAAGATTTATTAATAATAATGTTTGATTAGAATGCAAAAGTTGGCAACAAAATGAGATACTTAGGAATAAAACCTAACTAGAGACACAAAAGACCTTTACAAATAAAACTACAAAACATTTCACAATAAACAATGAAAGACCTAAATAAAAGGGGAAATGTTCCCTGTTTATGGATAGGAAGGCTCAATATAGTGAAAATAACAGCC